GGGGCTTAAGTGGAGAGCAAATGTTTTCAGAATGATGAAGGCAATGAATGTACAAATGTGCTTTACACAATTGATGTATGTATGGATTGTGATAAGAGTGATAAGCCCCTAATAAAATGAGTTTTAAAAAGATATGAAAAAAAAGAGTTAAAGTCTCAGAAAACCACAGGGGCATTTCAATCCTTCCCTGTAGGTTCACTGCTAGTTGACATCAACTCAATGACAGTGCGTTTGGTTTGAGAGTTTGGGGGAATCTATGAAAGTGTCATTGAAGGAAAACAAGAGTCTCATATATATGTACTATCAAGAAATCTGAGACATATATATGAAGTTTGATAAAGTATTCTGAGAGGTAACAAGACATGGGTTTCATTATAGTAATCAAAATGTGTTGATTATAGTAATAATTTGATTAACTCAAAAGTTATTTGATCATAGTAAGAATCAAAATTTGCATTCACCCATCCGTTTTTGCTTTTGCATTCACAAATCTGTTTTGTTCTAGTCTGTGATGCTCACATGAGCAGCTTTCTCATTAGCTGTCATTGTTACACATAATTTTTTTAGCATTATCCCAATCTTTTCATACCAATACATTCTCTGTGAGAAATTAACCTCGCTGCTGTGTGTGTGTTTAGATGTTGCTTGCAGTTGTCCGAAGAAAGATGTCCTCAAGTGTCAGGAATGTACAACCTGCTTTGAGCTAAGACAGGTTACCATTGGGCCTCACTCCCTGGGATTAGTATTTTGATGGTACTGCGCAGCCTTTGATAAAGGATCCTTTGGGGTTAATACCTGTTGAGTTCCTAATGAACTAAAACATGACACTTAATAACTATGAATGTAAGTCCTTAAGCAAATAATGCATGTCTTGTCTTGTTCGTTTCTATATTCAGTTCTGTTACAACTCGCCAGTGATGCGTTACCGAATGACATGACCTTGGCTCTGGCTTATCTCCTTGCTTTGCCACAGGTGAGTTTCCCCTTACCAATAAAGGAGAGTTTAGAAATGAATACATTAAAGATCGATGCAGAGAATTTTAATCAGCATTGTAATTTGAGTTCAATTGTTTATTTTAATACCTTTTGATAGATTTTAAGTGCTGATAGGACCCTGGTCGGTATCCAGGAAGTGAATTCATTGTTAGCTTTAATACCAATCTTTAAAACTACTTTAAATGCATAGGATTTGTTTTTATTATGTATTCTGAGTTTTAGTGCAGCCACCTTAAGTTGAGCTTGAGTTGATGTGTAGATATGATGGAAATTTAGAACCCAAATCCTACAGTACTGACTAGAAATGCAAGGACTTATTATAAAACTTGTTAATTTCCTTTCAGCCAAGTGAATTTTGTCATGTTCCCTCCTAGGTGTTAGATGCTAACAAGTGCTTTGAAAAGCAGTCCCACTCTGCTTTATCTCTCCAGCTGGCAGCGTATTACTATAGCCTACAGATCTATGCCCGCTTGGCACCATGTTTCAGCGACAAGTGCCATCCTCTCTACAGGGTGAGTCCTCATTGTTTCCACTTTGTTAATGAGCAGAGGCAAAGCCTTTCTAAAAGAGTCAAAATACATGCTTACCTCTTCGCAGAGACTGATCTGCTTTGTCCAGGCAGTTCCTGGATCACGAATGAGTCCCTTTCTTTTGTTGTCTTGGTCTTGGGACAAATGTCTAAGTAATTTGAAAGGAACAGTTAGGGACAGTTACTTTTTAGTGTCAGTTACTCATACGTTTGTCTTAGAATAAAAACGCATTAAAGAAATACCCTGAGATCTACTACCATGTCTTTAATATGATAATTCAGTAATAATGTTTTAACATTGTCCATTAGGTGAAAATTCACACAGGAAATTACTGTTCCATTCACTAACCCATACTGTCATTGTCCATGACATCGTTTGCATTGCCTACAATGGGCCTTTACATCTCTGACTTTGGCACATGCTGCCGTTTCATCTCCAATCGTTTTCTAAGTAGCACACTCCTCACAAGTGTTATTATTGCTTTCAGGGGTCAGTCCAGGGTTTGGTTGAGAGGAGGCCTCTGGGAGTGGCGTCAGTTCTAACTTAGAAGGGTGATTCGGGAAAATAGTCTCAGAGTTTCCTCCAGGCTCCATTAGATCAGAAGTTTGCTCTTTTTCAGGAATTTCCCTTGTGGTCTTCATTTTTCAACCCTTCTGTGCACATTCTGCTCGGCTTCTGGTTCAGGCTATTGGAAGTAGTAGGTAGGCAGCGTCTCGTTCTTCTGGTCTTAGCGTTGAGGAGGCTGCGGTTCATGTGGGCCATTCGCCCTTTGAACTGATTGATTCCTTGGATCTTTGGTTTCCAAAGTCTCCTTTGCTCCAGGTGCGAAGGGACCAGTCACCGTATCTTAGCTGACTGCTCTCGAGCATTGAAGACCCAGGCACTATTCAACTAACCAAGATATAAAATGTTTTCTTTACAATCAAATATTTTTCACATGATTATGCCAGGCAATGTTTTACATACTGAGAAAAATAATAGTAAATAGATATTGATCAAAGACCCAATGGATGGATTCCCAATGGAAGACCCAATGGAAGAAAATTATGGAACAGGATTTTAAATTTTTATGGAAACCTGACTTTTACTGAACTCAGTGAGACAGGGGCAACCCTCAAATCTATTGCTCTATGAGAATTAGTCTTTCAGCCTTGAACTGAAAAGATTCCATGAAGTTAGCCTTCAACTGAACCCACAGTTTAGCTCAGTTGCCACACTGCCATCGAGCTGATTACAACAAGTAAAGAACGTTCGTGGTGAGCAGTGTGCTACTTTAAAGGCTTATCTATCTGAGCTCAAACTGACAACCGTATCTCCAAAACGAGAGGCTTCAGCAACAAAGTCTAAGTTCATGGCCGTGAAACAAGGTAAATAGAGCTAGGAAGAATGGCGACAAAATGTGAAGAATGTAGCCCACACCATTGAGCTACACGTGTAGAAGGTGTTGAGTGGGTAGAGATTTTGAAAATAAAGAAATTTCTTACCTTTAAGCACTTATATGCTTTTGCAGAAAAAGGCATCCTAAACAAATATTTCCTGTATTACATGGTGATTAGAGCTATAAAAGCACGTGTGTGTGTGTTTGTGTGTGTGTGTGTGTGTGTGTGTAGTTTAATTTAAATGGCGTCTTTAATTTAATTAGTGTCAGGAATGACCTCAGCTGATAAGGTGGCTTTATTGTGCAGACCTGCAGCAACACCCTGCAGCTGTCTAGAAAAGTACACCAGACAGCAGGACCGGTGGCAACATAGGCACAGGAATGTCACCTTGCCTACATACGAGTGTGTGGTATTTTTTTCTTCAGTTTTTGAAATGGGGTTCCTATTTCGGTAGACAAAATCAGAGGCAGAGAAGAGCTGCCTAACTGTTGAGCCGCAGGACAGGACATGGATGTGGGACCTGACCAGGCTTCCTTGTGATCCCGTGCAGGATCTTTTCTGTCTGGCTAGGAAACTCTCAGGAGGTGTCTGGCAGCAAGGGCCCGCTGTGGAACTTGTCTATTGGAGTTGTCAGGGACAGTAGAAATAGCAGACTAGCCCAACAAAGTCACTTGACTGCCTTTAAGTAGCTTTTACATTCTTTTGCCAGTTGAGCCTGGAAGCAACTGCATTTTGCAGAAGAGCCTTCTTTGCAGTAATCGGACTCCAAGAGGTTGGGTACTTGGTAGGGTTACTGTGGTAGAAAGTGACATCCTGTCCCTTGCAGCTCCCAGTTCTCATCTTTGCTTGCCTGTTATTTGGACATGCTATTGCTCTAGCTTTGTTTCCAAAGGAGCGTGTCACTGGTTTTTGGACCTCTGTGCTCTCTCTGGAGGAGTCAAATGTGAAATCCTGGTGGGGTTGTTTAATGAACCCCTTGGTGAACTCTAAACTCCTGTTTATGACTGATACGCCTCTTGATGAGGTTTGCTAGCCTCCAGCCATATTTCCTGACACGCCCTGTTTGAAGATTAAGCTCCAGCTTCAAGACTGTGTATTTCTCTGAACTTAACATACTTTACCATGCCTCTGTGCCCATGCACATGTCCTTGCCTCTGTCTAATATCCATTCCTCTGTCTCTCCACTATTGCGTTTAAGACCCTCCTCTCTGAAGCATCCTGGGATTTCTTGGCAGATCCACAGCTACCTCTCCCATCTCTCACTGCTTGGTGTGCCCTCACCAGTCCCTCACCACCACCCCCAACCCCCACTGAAGCAGCTGTTAGGGTACTGCAGTCAAGGCACATCTTTCCCTCTCAGTGTGCTCCTCTCATTGGGGCACAGGAGTTGGGTCTCTTTCTGCCTAACCCTAACTTAATGTGATGACTGTTTATGGCCCTATAAATAACTTAAGGGAGCATTTCACCTGCTATGCGTTAGAATTTCCTTAAGGCATCAGCTTTGCAGTTTTGAGCCCTGGCCCTCTTGAGTTTGAAGGATTCATGGGCACTGTAGGGGGATGTTTTAAATACACAACGCCTTTTATGGACAACCTAATTGCTCAGTCATTATTTGAGTCTTCTCAGCATCTTACACTGAACAGAGCAGGACTTTTGAGTTTGCAGTTAAACAGGACAAACAGCTGACGAAACACCTTGGACACTGAAATCCAAGTGGCTTCAATTTGTTGCCGACACATGTTGAAGTTCAGCTTTCACCCACATGTCAGTTTGATTTGTTTCTAATTCTGTGTTTTCCCCCACATTTTTGTGTTTAGGGATATATAATGATAATTGGCAAATAGTTGGACAGGAATTTCTCCGTAGCTAAAATGCCAATGGTGTAAATAAAAAGTCAGTTTCTGTCTTTTGTATCCTTTCAGAAATGAGGTATGGGGATTCATACTTAGGTACCTATTTCCCCCCCTAAAATTCTAAATAAGCTATACAATACTTTTCTGCACCTGTTTTGTTTTTAACCTTTATCTTACCTTTGTAATTATTGCAAGCACATTTAAAAGTGATTTTATTGGCATTCTTTGTGAAAGTTTTCAGAAGATGAGATCAGTTAAAAATGGAAACATATCCTTTAGTTTTATCTAAGGAAGCAAAGTCAGCAGGGGATGAAATTCAAAACTTTATGGTAGACTATTTCTAAAATGTGTTTGGTTGTTTTTTAGCACTAATTGAAAATACTAAGTAGAAAATTATCTCAAGCAAAATTAAAACCCTAGAGGGGAAACACACCACCTGTTTAAAACTTTCCAAATTATGTTATCAAGAAATGGAGACCATTATACCAAAATGAAATTATTACCTCTACTAGTGAGCAGTAGGTTGTCATTGAGCATTCTGTTGCCATGAATATTTATATCTTTTGTTTCTACAAGGCCTTGCCCTTATTCTTTTTTTTTTTTTCAATCATAATTTATTAAGCTCTCTGAGTGCACTGACAAGCTTTGTGTGCGTGTTCCTGGGGAGGCATGGAGGGTGGAGGAGAGACAGGGCAGAATAACTCCAAACCTTCTGTTTTAAATTCTCGATGTCTTTTTTATGTTGTTAGTTTTGGCACCTGTAACAATTTGTAATGTCACTTTAAATACTAAATATGAAACAATTGAAAGCCACCATTCATGACCTCAGGAGACCTGGTGGCACAATTGTGTAAGCAGTGCACTTGTAACCTCATGGCCAGTGGTTCAAACCCACTAGCCACTGATCCAGGAGAAAGATAGGGCTGACTGCTCCCTTGAAGACTGACAGCCTTAGAGACCTTATGTAGAGTCACTTTGAGTTAGAATCACTAACTCAAAGTTAGTGAATTAAGGTGGGAAAGAGAGGGATAATTGAGTATACCCTGAACAGAAAAATTAGTAATTTATGGTACTGTGTTGGATGTCTAGGGGAAAGGGCTTGCAATGAGGAGGTCACTAAGTGAGAAGTCAGAAGTTTTGGCTACAGCTGTGGAATGCAGGACCTGTTATTTATCTAAAAACCATGCACTGCAGTCCCCTACAAAGCTCAGTGAGTTGGTATGAGCATCAAATGGAAATGGTTGTGGAACTTTAAAACTAAAATTCTGTTTACTTATGGGAATGAATGCACAAAATGAAGCTTGAGGGTACAGTATGCTTGGAATACTCAGAGAAAGGGATATGTTTCCGAAGAATTCTAATGAAAGGAAACTTAAATACTGCTGATGTCTTAGTTATCTAGTGGTTATACAAGAGTAATACAAAGACTTGATGCATTTAACAAGCAGAAATGTATTTCCTTACAGTTTAGGAGGCTTGAAATCCAAATGAGGGTGCTGGCTCTGGAGAAAGGCTTTTTCTCTCTCTTGGCTTTGAATAATTCCTAGTCTCTTTTGAGTTTCTAACCCTTGCATCCTTGATGATCCTTCAAAATGCCTTGAACAACATGTCCAGGTAAAGAATTTTAGTCTAAAATTATAGGGTTAGAGTATAGATGGGGAAAAAACGTCTTCATTGTATGGGTTCGCTGGTGAAATATAAAACTGGAGCACTTTGGAGCTCTGTCACAGGACAAATGCACGTCGCTTCTGCCACCCTAGCCCCTCCTTACTGGATGTTTGCACTCGCTCTCTCTGTGACTGAGCAGAAATGTCTTAGCTAGAAAAAGTGTGAGCGCACCAGGCAGCAGCAGGGCACAGCCAGAGTGCAGAGCAAGTATAAATAGACTGACCGGGGCTGTGACCTGCATCCCTGTACAAATGGCTACAATGGTGGCTATTGCAGTGATGAACAGTACAATGTGGTACCCTAAGAAGTTAACTCAACCAAAGAGGTGCCAAGATCTGAGGCACAGAATCCCCTTTGTCCAATCCATTGTCAGAAATGATAGCCATATACAGATGATTCCCAAATCACCATGTAACCGAATTTAGATTTGCTCTATTGACTTCCATCTTTGTGCCCACTTTTCCTGTGATTTTGGTAAGATGAAGTTTTTGCCACTGTGCTTCTATGGCCCCTAAATTTAGGGGGCTTTGGTGTTCCATCATAATATCATTAGGGTCCTTATATTATATACAAGATCTTTCTAGGTGTGGCCCCTACTTAGGGATCTTATCTCTTGCTTTATTCCATTAGGGCCTTAGAAAACATTCCACCTTTGGTTGGAATCTGTCTGTCTGTATTGTCTGAGCATCTTGCTTCTTCTGCTACCTGAGTAGTCTAGACATTAACTACCAGGACTAAAAATTACTTGAAAAATTCCGTGATGTTTTAATCCATTTGTTCATAGACTTTTTGAACCCCCGTTGTATATTTCTTAGTACATAACACTCCTAACAAAAGTCAAACCTATACCAAGTCAATTCCAGCTCATAAAGACTCTAGGACAGAGTAGAACGGCCCTATAGGATTTCCAAGGCCATGATCTCTGTAGTAAAGGTGTGCATCAGGGTTATAGCCTCTCACCATACTTGTTCAATCTGTATGCTGACCATATAATCAGAGAAGTTCGACTATATGAAGAAGAATGAGCCATTAATATTGGAGTAATTCTTATTAACATTATGCAGCTGATGCAACCTTGCTTGCTGAAAGGAGGAGGACTTGAAGCAGTTGCTGATGAAGCTCAAGGTTTTCACCTTTCTGAATGGATTAGAGCTCAATGTAAAGAAAACAACAATCCTCACAACTGGACCAATGAGTGACACTACAATAGATGGAGAAAAGACAGAGGTTGTCAAGGATGTCATTTTGCTTGAATCCATTATCAGTGCTCATGGAAGCAGCATGCAAGAGATCCCAGCATTGCACTGGGAAAATCTGCCGCATAAAACCTCTTTAAAATGTTGAAGAGTAAAGATGTTACTTTCAGAACTAGGATGCTCTTGAGCAAGCCATCGTGTTTTCCGTTGCCTCATTTGCATGTGAAAAAGTTTGACACTGAATAAAGACTACTGAAGAAGAATCTATGCATTTGAAAGGTACTGGTGGAGAATATTAAAAGTACCATGGACTGCCAAAAGAACAAACAGGTTGTCTTGGACGAAGTACAGCCAGAATGCTCCTGAGACACAAGGATGGTGAGGCTTCATCTCCCATACTCTGAACCTGGTGTCAGTAGAGACCAGTCCCTGGAAAAGGACATTGTGGTAGTTAGTGATTTAATGTCAACTTGAAGATGTATAAAGTGTAGGGGTGGAATCCAACCTGTCAATCAGGTCACAGCCTGATGATGCCTCCTTGGGGGTATGGCCTTTTTTAAACCAGGAGAACTGGGAACCGCCCTCTCTCTTTCCCATCCTTGGTCTTCCTGCTTGCTGGGACTCTGCCACTGTTCCCAAGAGCTTCTGGTGCCCTGCCATGTTTCCACCAACCGTGGATCCACATGACTTTGCACCCACCGGCTTATGATCTCCCTGCGTCTGTGTCACTGCATGTGGTGACGTGAGTGTGTAGAGTGACTTATGGACTAGAATCAGACTTGTGGACATGGACTGGCCTGGGATGCCTTCTGAATGCACAGTTACTTCTTGATACAAAGTTCTTTCTTCTACATAGATGAGAGCTACTGGATTTCTTTCCCTAGTCAACCTGGTCTAACACAGAAATAGTGCACGGTAAAGTAGAAGGGCAACGAAAAAGGGGAAGACCCTTGACCAGATAAATTGACACAGTGGCTACAGCAGTGGGCTCACACAGAGCAACAAAACAGCAGGTGGTATTTTGTTCTGTTGTACATAAGGTCGCTAGGAGTCCGCCCTGTCTTGAGGACCCCTGATAACAGTCTCTACGAAAGCAGGCTGCCACTTCTTTTTCCTGCAGAACGGCTGGTGAGATGGAACTACCTACCTTTTGATTAGCAGGCAAGCTCTTAACCACGATATCGACATGGCTCCTTTTGATATATAGTAGATACACAAAGTATTTGTTGAGTGAATGAACAATGAATGTCCTGTACCTTACTTGTGGGAGAGTTACTGTTAAAATCCAGGTAACTTTTCCTTGGTTTTTTAGAGTGTGACTCAGTATACACATAGAGATAGGAAAGAAGTGTTTTTAAGTGTGCTATGGTTGACTCTTTTGCAAATTTGCATGCTGGAATCCAGGAAGATTTCTTTAATTGGTTTTTATCAGTATTCCCAGATTGTTCCTTAATAGGATCAAGAGAGAATGTCAGGCTAGGTTTGGTAATAGACTCGACATTGACAAATCTTCTGTGTGGCTCAGAATAATGGCTAACACATTACAATGCTGACAGCTCACTATAATTAGGTGTACGTTTCTGTGAACCAAAGGTAGATTCTGGATTTTCTTCCCGTGATCTGCTCATATTAAAATATGTGCTGGGCTTCCACAGAAATTGAGACGGATTGAATTAATGCTGTTCAAGTATTAGGCTTCCCGTTAAGTGATTCCAGAGTCATAGTTCAGCTGGAGTTGTTCTGTTGGCATCCAGTACAACTTTAATACAAATAAATGTGGCCAGTTAATCACTTTCCTCCTTTGCTGTCAGCTGTTGAATTCCGGGTTTTATTCTAGTTGAATAATTTTATTTTTGTTGGAGACGCTGTTAAAATTCTTGCAAAATAGCTCATTGAGCCCTAAATTTAGTAGAGTAAAAAGTTAGATGTTTCTTATGCCACCAGAAGTATTTATGATTTCAGGACTTAGCATTGAATTTTTTCTCCCAACTTCCCTATTCCTGGGGGGAAACTCATTTGCTCAGCTGTCTTTTATGCTGGGGTTGGTGAATTGCAACTGTCTTACTGAGAATACTAAAGGGTGGTCAAAAGAAAATATATCCAGAGGCAATGATGATGAAAATGAGTTCCAGGGTGAATTGTTATAAGTGAGCAGGTGGTTGTGGAACAATCTGCTGTCAGTTGAAGTCGTTTACAAAGGAAGAGTATATTATTTTTAATTTGATGGAGGTTTTGTGGTGGAAGACTAGAACAGAAGCCAAGTGATGTGCTTCTAGGTTCACGTCTGCTTCTTATCTTTGTAGCCTGCAAAATGGGCAAAGAATCACCTTTGTAATTGACTTCTCAGGGCAGGTGTGTCCTTTGATTAAATGTCAGTCGTGTGCAGGGTCCAGTAAGCATGTCCTTCTCTTTGTTACTAATTTTCATATATTTTGTTTAAAAAAAAAATCCATCCTTTTCACAGGCTGATCCCAAAGAGCTAATCAGGATGGTCACCAGGCATGTGACCCAACATGGACATGAAGCCTGGCCCGAGGAGCTCGTCTCCCTGACTAAGCAGCTGCACTACTACAACGAGCGTCTCCTGGATTTCACTCAAGCACAGGTCCTTCAAGGCCTTCGGAAGGGAGTGGACGTGCAGCGGTTTCCTGCAGATGACCAGTATAAGAGGGAAACTATTCTTGGTCTGGCAGGGTAAGGGCCATCTGTGTTTCAAAAGGGTGGGGCTTAAAATACAGAACAAGAATTTAAAAGAAAAATAAGAAGAATTGAATTATCAGACTACTAATCACAGTCCCTTAAAAATCTGTATCTCTGGTTGCTGTAAACAGGAAGTAAAACTTCCCCTACTTGTTGTAGTTACATGAGTGATACTGTGTCTCTTCCCGAAGGAGGACATAGCTGGAGACAAAATTCTGAACCGGAAGATTTAATAGTAAGGGTGGGAATTACCTTTTTAAAATAATTGTGATAGTCCAGTACCAAAATCATTACTATGTTAGGAGTGATAGAGTACGACCACAGGGAAAAGCATGACATTTCTTATCGAAATTTAAAAACACAATGGTCTTTTCTTTGGCTGAAAATAACGACATGGCAGTTCAGTTTTTTCAGTGTGTTAAACATTGGGCATGGCTTACTTACTACCTGTACAAAGACCCAGTGCTGTGGCCTCAGGGGATCTCTGTCCTTCTTGAGCCTACAGAACAGGAGAAGCCCCTGGGCAATGGCCATCATTTCCTGTTTTTCCTCAGCCCTTTAAGAACCGGGCAGGCACTCCTGTGAGACAGCAGTGTAGTTCAAAGCCAGAGAGGAGTTCCGTTCTCTGTGTGGTATTGCCTGAGTGTTAATGCTGGTCTCCATTTCCTGTTTGCATTGTGGACTGCCAAAAGATGGGGAATTGTGCTCATCTATAAGGATGATTAAGTAGAAGTGCTGTGTTTTTAATGCCATCGTTTGTCGAGTGTTTATCCTGAATGTGGCTCTGTGTTAGGTGCTCTATAAAATTTATAAATATCTTGTAATTCTGATGACAACCCTCCGAGATCAAATGTTCCCTTTATGAAAGATGAGATTTAAGGATATTAAATAGCTAACACAAGTTTACATAGTTGGTAAGGACCCTGATTATGAATTGAACTTAGACCTCTCATACATCAAAGCTGTCATCACATTTTTGCCACAACACAATCTGTCGTCCTTTCTGGACCTTACTGTATTGTAAAGAAAGCTCTTGCATGTAATTCTGTCTAGGCTTCCAGCCTCTGAAACTGCGCATTTAATGGTTAGTCTTATCTCTGGTACATTTCTTTAGCCTCGCAAAACAAAGGTGCTTCTGCTATGACAGTGCCATAAACTCTTTGTTTATCGTTATTATTTAAGTCCTTGAGGAAGTGACAAAGTAGTCTTGACACCTTGTGATAATTTTAAATTAGCTAGACTTTCCCCTACTTTTAGAAGACACGCAAAATTCTCTTTGGAGTAAAACCAAACAAAAAGCCCAGTGTCATCCAGTCAGTTTTGACTCTCAGCAGCCTTCTAGCACCAAGCAGAAGCCGGGGCTCTGGAGGGTTTCACGGGAAGCGAGTCTGTACAGAAGCAGGCTGCTGTATCCTTCACCCACACAGGGCCTTTTGGATTCAAATGGCCAGTGTCTTGGTTATCAGGCCATTTGCTTAACTGAGTGCACCATTAGGGCCTCTTCTTAGGAAGGGAGTAAATAGATCATAAAAAGATAATAGGGGCAACTTTTAGCTGGTCTCAAGAAGAAAAATATAGCATACGTTATAATTTAAGAAGAGAAATATGGCATATTTTATCTTTTTTTCTCCTGGAGGTTTGTGATTTCATAGAGCCATTTAATGTCAAATATTAAAGAGGTCAAAGAGATCATTTGATCTAGTCTCTTCAATGTTGTTAAGAGGAATCTGAGAATCAGAGAGCTTTAGAAAATTGCTCAAGGTGACAGCCAAACGTTGAACCTCGGCTTTTCAATTCCAAGTGGCAATTTCTTGTGGCATTTTGTAGCCCTGACTCCATGCTCATGGTTTTTAGAAAACCAAAAAAACCGAACTCACTGCCCTCAGTTCAGTGCTGACTCATCGTGACTCCTTTTGTGTGTCCGAGACTCTGGTTGTTCCCGGGAGTAGAACGCCCATTCTTTCTCCTGGGAAGCTACTGGTGGTTTCAAACTGTTGACCATGCAGATCGCAGCCCAATGCCCAACCACTACACCACCAGGGCTCCTTATGGTTTCTGGAAGAAGATTATTACACAGAATAAAAGTTTATAGGGCTCAAGTGAAATGATGATGGCAATAAATGTACAAATTTGCTTGACACAATGGATATATGTATGGATTGTGATGAGTTGTATGAGCTCCCAATAGAATGATAAAAAACGTTTATAAAGTAAAGTATGCCTTATATCACCAATTATATTTTTCTAGGTTTTTTTCTTTTCCTCAAGTCTCCAGCAGTCATATGCCATTTGAAGTGTGTCCTAGAGGATAAATAATTGCTTTTGATAAATATATAATACATCTTCTCCACAATCTGTTACTTAGAAAATATACTTTTTTTGGGTAAATAAAATGGTTGAATTTTTGCACAAGTTTGATGCTTTAGGCGCCCTGGTTTGGAGATGGGAGTCTTACTATCATGTGTGCAAGAATCCTTGAAGGACCAGCTTCCTCCCTGTGCTTCAGGCCCACCTTTGCCTGCATGCCGTGATGGAATGAGGGTTCCTTGAGAAGGACCATCATTAATCATCTCTGTTATGGGAGTCTGGCATGTTGCCTGGCACCAGATATATGAGGGGGTACCCCAAAAAACTGGAATATATTTTTTTCCAAAGCTGTGTCTTAAAAATTTTTTTTATTAAATACTTTTACTGGGGGCTCTTACATCTCTTATCACAATCCATACATTCATCCATTGTGTCAAACACATTTGTACATGTGTTGCCATCATCATTTGCAAAGCGTTTTCTTTCTACTTGAGCCCTTGGTAACAGCTCCTCATTCCCCCACCCTCCCTATCTGCCTTCCCTCCCTCCCTCCCTCCCTCATGAACCTTTGATAAGTTATAGATTATTATTTTCATATCTTACATCGTCCTCTGTCACCCTTTACTCACTTCTCCATTGTTCGTCCACCTGGGAGGGGGTTATATATCGATCCTTGTGATCGATTCCCCCTTTCTCCCCCCACCTTCCCCTTATCCTCCTGGTATCGCTATTCTCACTGTTGTCTCTGAAGGGTTTATCTATCCTGGATTCCCTGTGTTGTGGGCTCTTGTCTGTAGCAGTGTGCATATTCTGGTCTAATCCGATGTGTAAGGTAGAATTGACGTCATGATAGTGTGTGTGGGGTGAAGCATTAAAGAACTAGAACGTTGTGAGTTTCATTGGTGCTATACTGCACCCTGACTGGCTCATCTCTTCCTTGTGACCCTTCTATGAGGGGATGTCCAATTGTCTACAAATGGGCTTTGGGTCTCCACTTCTCTTACCTCCCCTCCCAGTTCACATTGGTATGATGTTGCTCTGGGTCTTAGATGCCTGATACTTTATCCCATTGACACCTCATGATCATGCAAGCTGGTGTGCTTCTTCCATGTGAGCTTTGTTGCTTCTCTGTAGATGGCTGCTTGTTTATCTTCAAGCCTTTAAGACCCCAGACACTATATCTTTTGATAGCCAGGTACCATCAGCTTTCTTCACCACATTTGCTATGACCCCATTTTGTCTTCAGCGATCGTGTCGGGAAGGTGGGCATCACAGAATGCCGGATTATTAGAACAAAGTGTTCTTTTGTTGAGGGAGTACTTGGGTTGAGGCCCAATGTCCATCTGCTACCTTAATTCTTAACATACAGATAAGAGTACATAGATCTATTTCCCTCTCGTTATATATAAATGTATTTACATATGTAAATGCCTGTAGTTTGACCTCTGTAAATGTCCTTTGCCTCCTGGTTCTTTCCTCTATTTCCTCTTGTCCCACCATCATGTTCAGCCTTCATTTGGGTTTACTAATTCCTCACTGTTATATTGCCCTTGATTAAGCCCCACTAGGCATCCTATGCCTTCTCTTCATTGAATTTAATTCATTTGTTCCCTTGTCCCTGGGTTGGTTGCCCATCCCCTTTCCCACCTCCCCTTCTCCCGTATCCCCCTGGAACCGTTGGTTCTGTCGTTTTAATCTCTGAATTGTTTATCTTGCCTATCTTATCTAGCTAGACATACAGAGACATTAATAAGCGCAAAAACCAGGCAAAGCCAAAAAACAAACAAACAAAGGAAGACAAAACCAACAAAACAACAACAAAAAACAAAATGACAACAAAAAGAAAGCCAATGACAGAAAAGGAAAAACCTATAAATAGTTCCAGATCTGTTTTTTGACCTTTAGGAGTGATTTCCAGTAGAGTCTGATGGGGTGCCACACTCTGTCTCCAAAGTTCATTTTTTATATTCTCTGGGGATTTCATCGCTTTGCTCCCCTTGCTGCTCTGTTGTATGCCCTTGGTGTAACCATGCTGAAGGAGAAAGATGGGGTTTCTACCCCCATAAACAGTTACAGTCCCGGCAACTCACATGGGCAGTTCTACCCCATGCTATAGAATCTCTATGAGTTGGCATTGTCTCCATGACATGACTGGATGACTTGAAAGATCGGTGGGAAAGAACCAACTGGTGTTAATACCATCCTTGGAATTCTGGTGGCCCTGATAGGGAAGTGTTGGACTGCTTATTTCAAGGTCAGTTCAAACCCACTAGCTGCTCTGCAAGAGAAAGATGAGGCTGTCTGCTCCCATAAAGATTTATAGCATCACAGAATCACAGGTCACTATGAATCAGAATCAAGTTGATGGTCGTGACTTTGGTTTTGAGGTTTAGTAGTGTTCCTGATTTCTACCCACTAGATGCCACTAGTACTTTTCCTAACCAGATGTGACAATCAAAAATGTCCCCAACAATACCAATGTCCTCGGGAGGGAGGGGCAGAGTACCACCCCCTCCATGGGGAACTGCTGGTCTAGACAATATCTGAGTAAATTGAAATGCACTGCAGTGACTAGGGAGCATTACAATTCCTCAGAATTACTTTCCCAGAATTACTGTGAAATGTCTTATTAGGTACTGTACTGGCTACACCCCTCTCTGCTGGAAAGCAATCCTAATGAACGCTTTCTTTGCTCATTAAGGTAATGTGTTTCTTTTCTTTTCCTTCCCCGTGGCTGATGGACATTCTTCAAGAACACTTGAGGAACACGTCTACAGCATTGCTCTTTCTCTGGCGCAGCGCTACAGTGTGTCCCGTTGGGAGGTTTTTATGACCCATTTGGAGTTCCTGTTCACGGACAGTGGGTAAGTGTATAGTACATATGGAAACTTAGTGCCATTTCTTTTTTACCATTCTGTTTTAGAAGAGTCTTGAAGTGGAAAAGTACCATTTGTTTTTCAGCTTTAGTAGAGTAGTATTCTTATCCTGGTGTGCTCTCTCTCTGTGCACCTGTGGTTCACCAGTGTTATAATAACACATTAGTTTTGCTTTTCAGTAATAAGAACCCTGAGTTAGATACTTTACTATAAATTTATTTTTCAATTTTATTAATAATCTGTAGTGTGTCAGGGTAATAAATGGTAATCTAAAACAGATATCCTAGCTGAATTTGAATTTATAGTTGCATATGGGAAACGGGTGATTATCAAATAATGGGATGGCAGATGGGAACTTTGAAAAGGGCCATGTATGAGGCTACTTAGGCCAGTCAGTCCTAGTTTCATGCTTCCCTGAAGAAATAAAGCTTGAGCTGAGAACTAAAGATCCAGTGAATATTGACTATATTTCAAAGAAAAGAGAGTGGTTTTATAGATAGAACAGTTTGTTTGCTTTTAAAGCCCTCTGACAAGAGGAGACATGGTGGTAGGAGACTCTAACAGAAGGGCAGTGTGAGGAGGGCCTAGAGAGTCAGGGGATCACGGTGTGAGATGAGACTGGGAGAGGCAGCAGCATAGAGTCAGACCCAGTACGAAGATTGCTTAACTCCTATTAAGACTTGGGGTTTTTTTGTTTTTTATTAAGAGTAATACAATATTTAATGATATTGGTGAGGGGATAGTACTCTCATATTTGCATTTTGTAAAGTTAAATGTGTTTACTGTTTGAAAAAAGATTTTTAGAGAGGCCACAGAAGACAACTGTAAACCAGTGGTGGTGGATATGATAGCAGTAGACCCCAAACTAGTTAACCACAGCTTGCTATACCTGTGGGAAGGTAAAGGAGAGGTGACAGTGGGTTTCAGAAATACGTGGAAGATGTAGAAGTTTGTTGTTGTTGTTCTTGGGTACCATTGGGCTGGTTCTAACCCATAGAGACCCTATGAGCAACAGAAGGAAACACAGACCAGCCCTGTGCCATCCTTAAAATTGTTCTGTACCTGGGCCCATTGTTGCAGCCACCGTGCCCATCTATCTCCTTGGAGACCTTCCTGTGTTTCATTGCCTCATACTTTACCAAGCATAATGAATGTCCTATTCCAGGGACTAGTCTCTACCGAAAAGATGCCCGTGTGAGACAAAGTCTTACCATCCTTACCTCTTAAGGAACACTCTGCCCATACTTTTTCCAAGACAGACCAGTGTGTCCTTTAGCAGTCCATTGTACTTTTCAACATTCTTGTCCAGCAACATAATCCAAATTCTTTGATTCTTCTGTTTTCCTTACTCAAGGACCAACTTTCTTATGCACATGAGGCAACTGAAAATCCTGTGGCTTGGCTCAGAGGAATCTGAATCCTCAATGTAACATCCTTGCCTTTCAATACCCTAAAGAAGTCTTGTGCAGCAGATTTACCTAATGTAGCTTGTCTTTTGATCTCTTGATCACTGCTTACATGAGCATTGATTGTGGATCCAAGCAAGGCAAAAGTCCTTGACCACTTCAACCTTTTCTCCATTTATGTTGATGTTATGTACTTGTCCAGTTGTGAGGATTTGGGTCTTCATTACATTGAGTGGTAATCCATACTGAAGACTGCAATCCTTGAACTTCATCAACAAGTGCTTCAAGTCCTCCTCACTTTCAGCAAGCAAGGATATATCATCTACATATCATAGGTTCTTATGCCTTCCTCTTATCTTGATGTCACATAATTCTTCGCATAATCCACGTTCCCTGATGATTTACTTAGCATTCAGATTGAACAAGTGTGGTGATATGATACAACCCTGATGCGTACCTTTCCTGATTTTAAAACATGTAGTACTCCCTTGTGTTCGCACAACTGCCTCTTGATCCATGTAAAAGTTGCACAATGAAACACACAATTTAATATCCTAGAATTTCATTCTTAAGATTATCCTTAGTTATGGTCCACATAGTCAAATGCCTTCGCATAATCAATAAAACACAAATAAATATCTTTCTGGTATTCTCTGCTTTCAGCCAAGAACCATCTGGCATCAGCAATGATATACAGCCTTGTTCTACATCATCTTATGAATCCTGCCTGAACTTCTGGCCGATCCCTATCAATGTCCTGTTGAAATCATTGTTCGTCAGCAAAAAATCACTTATGTGAGATATCAGTGGCATTGTTCTATAGTTGGAGCATGCTGTTGGGTCACCTTTCTTTGGAAATGGGCACAAATATTGATCTCTTTCAGTCAGTTGGCCAAGTAGCCATCTTCACCATTTCCTGGCTTTGCTGAGTATTTCCTCTGCTTCATCAGTTTGCTGATACATTTCAATTGGTATTCTATCTATACTTGAAGCCTTGTGTTTGGCTAATGTTTGCAGTGCCGCTTGAATGTCTTCCTTCAGCACCATTGCTTCTTGATCATATGCCACCGCCTGAAATGGTGGAGGATTGACTGGTTATTTTTGGTACAGTGACTCTGTGTTTTCTTTCTGTATTACTCTGGGTTGACTAGAGACACAAATCCAGAGACACTTATGTGTATAGGAAAGAGCTTTATATTAAGAGTAATTGTATATTAAGAAAACATTCCAGCACAGTTCAGATCAAGTTCATAAGTCCAATATTAGACTGACACAGCCATGAAATAATGTCAAATGCAGGAAGATCACAGGCCATTGGGTAGAAATCTTGTGGGTCCAGAGGCCGTAGAAGCATCTCAGGGCTGGCAGGGGTCTCCACCTGGCTTATACAGCTCCCAGGGCTCTGACTGCATCAGTGTAGTTCCATGTGGCTTATCATCAGGAATGTCTCACAGGGAGTGAGCATATGTCCCGCCTCCAGAAAGCTATTTATATCCATAGTGCCTCCAAAGGAGGTCATCAAGCTGTGGCCTGATTGATAGGTTAAACTCCACCCCTTCACTCTTAAGTCTCAAATTGACAACAGATTATGTTACTACCACCCTGTCCATCTTTTCTTGATGGTTTCTGCATCATTCAATATTTTGCCCAGAGAATCTTTCAAGATTGCACTTGGAGGCTTGACTTTCTTCTTGAGCTCCCTTAGTTTCAGATAAGCTAAGTGTGTTGTTCCCTTTGGATTTGTTATTCTAAGTCTTGTACATTTCATTATATTATTTTGCTTTGTTTTTCTCGAGCTGCCCTTCGAAATTTTCTATTCAACTCGTTGTCTTCATCCTTTTTTCCACTTGCTTTAGTATTTAAGAGCAACTTTCAGTCTCTTCTGGCATAAACTTTGATCTTTCTTTCTTCCCTGACTTTTTCATGACCTTTTACTTTCTTCAAAAATGATCTTCTTGACATCCTCCCACAGATCATCAGCTGTCTGTCTGTCATTATTGTTCAATGAGTTAAATCTGTTCTGAAGATGTTCTCAAAATTCAGGTGGGATAGACTCAAGGTCATACTTTGGCTCTCATGGATTTGTTTTATTTCCCAGCTTTATCCTGAACTTACATAGGAGCTGTTGACAATACATTCCAAAGTCAGCCGCTTGACCTGGTTTTATCTGGTGATATTGAACTTCTCCAGTGTCTCGTCCCACAGTCAACTTGATTTCTGTGTATTCCATCTCGGGAAGTCCATGTGTATGGTCTTGTTTTGTGTTGTTGAAAAGAGGTATTTGCTATGAACAAGTGGTTGGTTTTGTGAAATTCTATCATATAATTTTCAGCTTCATTTCCATCATTAAGACCATATTTTCTAACTACTGTTATTTCCATACTTTTGCATCCCAAACACCAATAATTATCAATGCATCTTGATTGCATGTTTGATCAATTTTGGACTGAAATCACGGATAGAATTCTTCAATTTTTTCATAACTAGCTTATGTGGTTGGTGCTTAACTTTGATTAATAGTTGTATTGATTGGATTTCCTTGAAGACAGATAGATATAATCCTATCCTAGATAGCGTTGTACTTCATGATGGGTTTTGCAATGGACAATGAGTGCCATGCCATTCTCTTGATGTATTAGTCCTGGCATAGTAAATGATATAATTTTCTGATTCAAAATATTCATTATCAGTTCATTTCAGATCACTAATGCCTAGATCATCAATCATTATGCATTACATTTCATTTTTGACCCCTTCTAATTTTTCTAGATTAATATCTCGTACATTCAAAGTTCCAATTATTTGCAGATTTTTACAGCTATTTCGCCTTACCTTGAGCCATGCCTGATTAGCAACTGAAGGCTCTATGCCCTCTGACCTGACTCAACTCACGTCACCCTGGTAGACTCCAGGCACGCTTCAAGTGCCCTCCGACCTGACCCAACTCACGTCACCCTGGTAGACTCCAGGCACGCTTCA